AAAACCGGATCCTTCTTCCTGAAGCCAAGATGAAATCCGCGGAAGAAACTTCACTTCATCTCGAACGCCGGCTACGAGAACTTCATTTTCGTGCTTGATTTGTGAAACCTGTGAAATTATCAATTTGTTAACAAGTGCGAAATAACATCGTTCCTGGAGACTCAGTCTCGGCCGCAAACGGCCTATCGCGCATTTCTTTCATTTCACTGAAAGTTTATTTCGTCATTGACCTAAGGGTCTCTGACACAGTTCACTTTACTCTCCGCCAATTCTCATGATTTTTTCCATGCAATAAGTCCAACAATCAAAACAGTGCCAAAAATAAAGTTATTTTTTAGGCAGCCTGTGGTTTTGGCTGTTCTCGACAGTGAAGAACGATCTGAAAGGGTTTGATCTTGAGGACAGAGACAGCCTCCTTTTTGGAGTCAATGAAGAACAACTCAATCAGCTAAAGAAGCTCGATTTTTGGCACTGTTGTGATTGTTGGACTTATTGCATGGAAAAAATCATGAAAATTGGCGGAGAGTAAAGTGCAAATGATGCGGCTATGCGAGTAAATTTTTTATTCGGAATTCTTAAAACTCCGTTGGAACTATGTCAAAATGTCTCAAAACGTTTGAAACAACCCTCGAACATTTTAACAATCATACGTGCATTAGTCATGATCAGTATTTTTGAAATACTCACAGAAACCCTTGTAAACTAAATTCGATGTATTTTGCACGATTGTATATAAACAAACGACTGTTTTTTTGGAATTTCCTGAGACATGGTGGGTTTGGCTCGTTTGGGTCAAATTTCTTGAACAAAGAAAAACTTGAAGGATGTGGAATCTTGATTTTTTAAAAACGTCTTCGTTTTATTGCAACACATTTGCACCCAAACTAAATGCGTTACTGTAGATCCCCAATAATGATTCGCATTATAAGACACTGGACGGATAAAAAAAAAACGATGGATAACGCGTGAGTCAAGGTTAATCAGGAAATAAATTAATGAAGGATCAATGCAATATGCGGTTTAATTAGTAGATTGATATTGATCGAATATGAAGACCTTTTGAAACCTTTTTTGGAATGCGACGAAAAAGGTGGTTTCTTTCGTGCTTACTTCCTTCATTTCACAATAGGAATCCAGTTTTTCATTAGTCCAAGTACAATATCAAAGACTTCTTTTAAATTGTTGGATCGCGGGTTCATTTACAAGGGTTGTCCCCCATGAACTTAGCCTTGAGTATTTCTAAAATGGGTAAGCCCATAAATAAAATGTTAAAATTTGTACATGTGTATCATGGTAGGAGAAGTGCATCAAAAACTGAAAAGTTTCCATTTATCATCATGCCAAATATTCAATTTTCTTTTGAAAAATCTGACAAAATTCCCAAAACCTCAGAACTTTATGGGTTACATTATAACATTTTATTTATGGGCGTACCCACTCTAGAAATACCCAAGGCTACATTCATGTTGGACAACCCTTGTACATGTAAGGAATCTTACTTGAGATTCATGGCATCAGCATACGGGGCTCCATTTCTCATCGGAATCGATTTATATTGAGTGTAAAAACACTTTGGAGACATGTAGAACGCCGGTCGACCTGAATATAATTTTTGAAAATCCATTGAAAAGATGACAAATTTTTAGCCCACTTTTTCCAAGGGTTTTCAAGGACTGTCGTGGCTTTAGATTATCAGGATGAACAAGAATAAATTGAGAATAAAAAAAAACTGTACCCATGAATTATTTCATAAAAATCTTGTTTCCCCANTTCTTGTTCTTTATTCTGCCGATCAAACTGTGGATCAAAGTTTATATAAATCATTGTTTTTGCCTGCGCGAGTTCAGTGTTGTCTATAACCTCGTAAAGGAGACGAGTACGTTGATAGAAATATATCAGCTGAAGATATACGGACTCTATACTTATTCAAAGACTGAATATTGGACACTTGGAAGAAGTTTCCCGGACATCAAGGAGAGAACTTAAACGTAACAGTTGGAAGGTTTCCTAAATTAAAGTTAACAAGGAAGGAGACAAGACACGTTGTCAAATTTTATTTAATTTTTGGAAACCGGACAACAAGTCCAAGTACAATATCAAAGACTTCTTTTAAATTGTTGGATCGCGGGTTCATTTACAAGGGTTGTCCCCCATGAACTTAGCCTTGAGTATTTCTAAAATGGGTAAGCCCATAAATAAAATGTTATAACTCAGCCCATAAAGTTCTAAGGTTTTGGGAATTTCTTTCAGATTTTTTGAAAAAGGTTCAATTTTTGGTATGAAGATAAATTAGAACTTTTTAGTTTTTGATGCTCTTCTCCACTCATGATACAGGGTGCTGAAACTTTGTAAAGCACAGATATAAAATTGAAATTTTCATGTTGTTTCAACCCAGATACTTTCTATATTTTGTGAAATAGCATATTTCTAGCACTTTGTTGTGAAGAATTACCTCTGAGTCAGACTTTGTGTCATGTTTTTGATGCAATTTATTGACCATCCCCAAAGTTTCATGACTTTAGGGATTATATTTCTGAAAGGGGTGTGCTGATGTGGATCGGCATGCCAATAAAGACAAATGGCAAACCCATCTGGTGGCAGTTAAGCTGCCAGAGAGATAGTCCCCCCAGCAAAAAGGCTGGGGTTCCCCAGTTTTATGAGGGACTGAATTACCCCAAAATACAGGGAATCCAACGCTTGCTGTGCATGCGTCCCAAAAAACAAAAATTTAAACAACCAGTGTTGAATTGCCTGAAAGAGGCAGATTCTCTTCTCACGGGGTTTTTCAGCTCATTTCTATTCATCCCAAAAATCCAAATTTTCAGTGAAAAGCGTTCTCAAAAATTGCGGTGTCCCAATAAATTGGCCCACTTGACAGTTGGGCCAAATTTACCAGGATCCGGTGGAAGTCCTTGATGTTGCTGATGACAAACCCCTGGCTCAAACAAGGGATGGAAAAAGCATAAAAAGGCAACCAATTGGAGGACCAGAGACCAGACAGATCCTACTCTGCTGCTGCAAAACTCTGTGTGAGATTTTTGGCAATTTGAATTCCGAAAAATGTGTATTGAAGAATATTTTGATGCAAAAAACTCCATTTTATACATCGTGTGAAACTGTTGTATATTCCCTTGTGAATTCAAGAACATGCTTGCGCTTATTCTGGCAGGTTGTGCACCTGCCAACTTGTCTACCAGTTTATTTTCCTCTGACTACTGTAGGAATTGTAAAAGCAATCCTTGGGCAAATCTCTTTGGCACAAAACTTGTAAAAAGCCACCTTTTTAAAAAAAGCATTGACTCTGCATATCTCTCTGAGTATGTACATTTCTCTTCTGGAATCTTCCCAGATAAAATTTGTACACGTGTATCATGAGAGGAGAAGTGCATCAAAAACTGAAAAGTTTCCATTTATCATCATGCCAAATATTCAATTTTCTTTTGAAAAATCTGACAAAATTCCCAAAACCTCAGAACTTTATGGGTTACATTACAGTATAACATTTTATTTATGGGCGTACCCACTCTAGAAATACCCAAGGCTACATTCATGTTGGACAACCCTTGTACATGTAAGGAATCTTACTTGAGATTCATGGCATCAGCATACGGGGCTCCATTTCTCATCGGAATCGATTTATATTGAGTGTAAAAACACTTTGGAGACATGTAAAACGCCGGTCGACCTGAATATAATTTTTGAAAATCCATTGAAAAGATGAAAAATGTTTAGCCCACTTTTTCCAAGGGTTTTCAAGGACTGTCGTGGTTTTAGATTATTAGGATGAACAAGAATAAATTGAGAATAAAAAAAAACTGTACCCATGAATTATTTCATAAAAATCTTGTTTCCCCAAAAATAATTTCCACCTAAAGATTTTTTCATCAGACAGCAAGCAGTCTTTAACAAATAATTTATAAAACGTTCTCCCTGAATAATTTTCTAAAATTGCCGCCAGGTACTTAGATTTTTTATTTTGCATTTGCGCTGAAATTAATTCTCGTAAACCGACAATCAGTTGCTGCGATTTAAGGAATAAATGGAACGAAATCATTCACAGCAACTTTTTTTTTGGGGAAATTCTCTTGAAAAAATCTCGCTAATATTGCGCATATATTTTTCAATTTGCAAAACTCTTACTTTAGCGCCTGAAAACGTATGCTTATTTACCTTTGTTCATGATCTTCGACTGCTCCAGAAAATATCTCAGGTTAGTTTGTGTGCCGATGAAAACATTCATAGGCGATAGGCCTCTGGATTTCTTCACCAACAACAGTCCATCTTCGAAAGTCGCCACATCTTCAGCAAACACTTGGGTTCTGAGCAGCTGCGCAATTCTTCCCTGTATTCCTTGAGTCGCCGACTTGGAAAATTCAAAACCAGAGCACAATTTTTCAATCTCGCCTTTTTGGATTAAAAACATTAAATTCATACAGTCTATTGATGAATCATTAAACTTGAATTTTTTTCAGAATTTTTAATGATTGTTTTTTTTAACGCGCAACCAAATGAGGAAAAACGCTTTTTCTTATTTGTATGCTTAAAATGCACGATTACGGCATCTTTTTCGTGGTAGTCTTAAATAAGTACCTATAAAAAATTAGAATTAATGAATTTTAAACAATTCTAGCATCGTAATGGGGGGGGGGGCTGATTTTTCTATAGATAATTCATTGAATATAAAATTTATCACAGTGAAGTTCGCTCTGAAAAGGTCAAACCCTTTTTATTTTTATTCTCGGGGGCCAAAAATTTCTCAACGTGACGCCTGGATTTTTCAAAGTTCAAAAGGTATCTTTCGCACATACTTGTGTTCTGTTGCATCTTAGGCGTCCGAAGCAAAAATAAACGCAAAAATTGCATCACTAAAAGTGACGCAACGAAAAGAAAATTCAACACTAATACGATTTACCCCATCTCTATCATGTATAAGTAGACTGTTTACGTATGAAGCATTTTCTATAATTGTCTTCGGATTCCCAGGAGAATTTTCCACACTTTCAATTTTTTTGAATGAAATGCTGATAATTTGATTTATTTTAATTCGCGGGTTCTTCACTGCAGCTCTCGGTTTATTGGAAGATTTGTGAACGTCGGCCTTTTTATCAGACCAGGAACCTTCTTTCAATAAATGTAAACCAGGAAAAAATTAAGAGAAAAATAGTATTCACCTCAATTAAGGTCTCCGTGGCACTTCCACGAACCAATAGCAAATTGAGTTCTTCACGTTCCATTGGTTTGATGAGGTCACTCGGGGTCGTCATGGGGGTTTCTGCGCCAAAAAATTCGGATGAGTTCGAAATCCATCAAAAGAAAGTGAGACCTTTCTAGTCTACGTCGTCCCTGATTCTTTGGCAGAAAGTAAAAAAAAAATAATAACCTCTTCCTGGAGAAGTAAATGATGCGTAGAAGTTTCCAGATACCAATTGGATGATCAAAAAGGTATAGAACAGAAAGAAGCTGAGGAAAACCCTTGTAGCATGCCATGGAGGAAAGGGTTTGTCTATGTCACCTGAAAGAAAAACAATAAGGAATATATTCTCATCAGTAAATTTAAATTTTCCAAAATCAAACATTGATGTTGCAAATGTTGGGCTCACTTGCAACTACAGAAGAATAAATGCTGAAGATTCAACTATCATAAATTGCACATGGTTAAATACTCAACTCTTGGCTGTTTGTCATTCCAGTTAGTTAGTTGAGTTGGATTTTATTTGTTCATCTTCCAAAGTTTGACAAAACAAAATAACACAAAGGGAAAATTTTGAATTTTCCCCCAACTTATGATTTGTTGCTCAGCATTTTTCCTGTCCTTTTGGGCACTGTGAGCTTGATTTCTCACAAAAGGAAATAAAAACACAGGCTATCAGCCTTTTGATGCCAAGAACACATATTCAAGGGATAAATTTGAATATATATTCTTAGTTTTTCAATCATGTTTGGTTCAATATTTTCAGTAAAGAAAACCAATAATCAATTGAATCCAATAGATTAAATTCACACACAATAAATACAAACAAATTCACATCACAGATTTCTGCTCAAATCAGTAGTAAGATCAGTAGTAAAAAAAGGAGAAGATTGTCTGTTAACCCTTAGGCAGATGATTTGTCCACAAAATGTTGTGCCCCAAGGAGTAGAAAAAATTGTGAACAAAAATGATTAGAAGAGCCAAAGATTTGGAAAATCCCAAATTTTTTTAGCATTCCTGCTAAAAAAAAAAAAAGCACAAGAAAAAAGTTAATGTTGGGTGATATTTTTTTCTTCATCCCTGCCAAAGGATTATAGCATCAAGGGAATTATCAGGACAACAACTTTCTTTTTGCAGGCTTTTTTCCAACTTTGGCTACTCAGCTAAAGCTNGACAACAACTTTCTTTTTGCAGGCTTTTTTCCAACTTTGGCTACTCAGCTAAAGCTGCATTTCAGTGACCTTTGGTCAAACCAAAATGCAAAAGCCTGCAAAAGAATCCTGGCACCGCCACTTGATGCAAAAGAACCCACCACTGCCCAAGTGTTAAGGGTTCAGGACAGACTGCTTATAAATTTGAAATTAGAATGAGCTTTCATTAATTTCTTGTAATTGTCTGGCCACATGATCTGACCAGAAGATTCCAGGATATTCCAATAGATTTCCTTGCCTCTGATAGCCTGAACTAATAAAAATTTAAGAATTTGTTGTACAAATTGTCAGCTGATGCACAAGGAAAACTTCATAAGGCTCCCCTCCTCATTTCTCCCCAACAGGCACTTCATTTATCTTACCAAAATATCCCAACTCTAG